CTCTTTTTGCGTCAACCTGAGACATCATCATTATCATCATTATTATTATTATTATTATCATTATTATTATCATTATCATCATCATCATTATCATCATCATTATTATCATTATCATCATCATCATTATTATTATCATCATCATTATTATCATTATCATCATCATTATTATTATCATCATTATTATTATTATCATCATCATCATCATCATCATTATTATTATCATCATTATTATTATCATTATCATCATCATTATTATTATTATTATTATTTTAAAAAAAAAATAATGGTTACCTTAATTCTTCCAATACTTTTCAAAACTTAGAGAATAAAACGATTTAAGAAAAAACAAAAAAAACAAACAAACAAACAAACAAAAAACAAAGTAAAAAATGACCGTGTTTGACAATTTTCTCAACACCCAGCCATAATCCTCACCCACGACTCCGGCTTTTGAACAGACATGTACAGTCCGTAGGCCACTCGTCGACACGCCCAACTGGTTAGGGTCAGACAACTGACAAACAAATCTGTGGTACTGAACTAGAATTGGTACTGTAGTCTATCTTAATTACCAAGACAAAATATGTTTATGTTCCAAACTGTTAAGATCGGAAAACATGAAATTAATATTATGGGATGAGGAGTTATCATTATTCACAATATTTACATTCCGACTATCGTCCTTATCTTTGTTGTTGTTATTACAATGTTTCGGCCGTCGTGCCCGCCGCCCTTAAGGACCCCATCGATCCGAGTGATCTTCAGGAAATTCCGAACTGAACCCTTTATTTAATACCCGGGGGGGGGGTAGATTATTCTCGTTCTTCTGCCCTAGTGATATCTCGTCTAGTTCATATTTTTAGTACTTCTCGGCCAAGAGATTGAACTCACAAGTACTATGTAACCAAATTCCCGAACCAACGCTTTAATTCCGTATTATCATTATTATTATTAATACAATATCATTGCAAATATTCTTCAGTTGAAACGTCTGTTTTCAATGTCGTAAAGGTAGATATAATATTTAGATTTTGGTGAGTTTTAGGCATTATTTTAAACTGTGCCTCAGAGACGATGAAACTTTAAGTTTTAAATTTTAAAATTAAAATTTTAAACTGTACTTCAAAGATGCTGAAGCAGCTCGCAAAATTTGGGGAGCGGAAGGAAATAAAACAATATCTGACCGTAGTATCTACAGCTGGTCTAAGGGTGTAGGGATGAAGATGTCGATCGAAGACACGTGGGTCACATAACGGCCGGTGAGTGACGTCAATTCAGTTCAAAGTGACAATAGCCAGTTTTGTAGTCAACACTTCTGGAGTGAAGACGTGTCCACCCACACGAGTTGCTATGTAGGCCGTCGTGAAGACAGAAGTCGCAAGCCCACAGCAGTAGAGCCTACAGAGAAAAACCGCATGATTTCGCCAAAAGCATAAAGGACACCATAGACCTGCCCCTTCTCCCATTGGGAAATGTTACAAGTAAGACCCTCTTTCTCTTTTCGCACTTTTCACACTGCTTGTTGTGTACACTTTTTTTTAAAATCAATTCTCCCCAAGCAAGGCGACGATGCCACTAAGACACAAAGGGCTACTGGGAGTGGAAGAAAATAAAAAGAACAGAAAACTCAATCTTAAATAGGGAAAAAGCTCTACTCCTGATCAAAAGACAAAGGAGAAGTGTGAACCGGGGGTTTGTCGAATCTATTTCACTCGAGAAGAAAAAATAATTAACGAATAAAATTTCAGCTGCAGACGTAAGAAGTACAGAACTGAAGTAAACTTTAGAGGAACTTGAAACCCAATCCTAAACAGAAAACAAGGGATAAACCTCTACTCCTGTTCAAAAGGCAAAGGAGAAGTTTGAAACGGTGTAATGTCGAATCTATTTCAATTGAGAAGAAAAATAATAATTAGCAAATAAAATCATGGCTCTCCACAGCTTCCTGTCCTTTGTAGCTCTTAATAAATTTTCTCTTTTTGTTATTTCTCCTAAACCTTGTTCTGCCATCCATTTACTGAAGCTCACTAAGTATGTTACGCATTGTTTTCCTCTGTCCCTCTTCAACCTGTTTTCATTGTTTTCTTCTTCTTCTATGCAACGTATCCCTTCAGGGTATAGGCAATAATGGCTCTTCACAATTTCCTGTCCTTTGTAGCTCTTAATTAATTTTGTCTTTTTGATATTTCTCCTAAACCTTGGTTTGCCATTCATTTACTCAAGCTCCCTAAGTGTGTTATGCATTGTCTTCCTCTTTTCTTCAATATGCCCTGCGAGTATCAAATTCTCAAGCCCTCTATCCTCATTATGTGCCCTAGAAACCTCAACTGTCTGTTCATGATATCAAGTATAAGTTTTCTTTTTGTTTCCATTTTCTCTAAAACTTTGTCGTTGCTCACATATTCGTTCCATAGTACCGTCAGCATCCTTCTGTGGAACCACATTTCTGTTGCTTCAAGTCTCTTCTTCATCTTTGAAGAGATTGTCCAGCATTCACTGCCATAAAGGAAAACAGATATCACATAACAGTTCAATACTCTTTTTCTTTGTTTCTAACGAAACTTTTCTCTTTCTTAATACCCTGTTTCGCTTTTGGAATGCGTCGTTAGCTATAAGGGTTTTTAAAAATGTTAACTTGTCGCTTGAAACGAAATCCCGAAGTGAATGTCCTTCCGTTACCTGTTATGATGCTTTAAAATACAGGCAAGAAAAAAAAAAGGTGGGCACCAATACTGGAGAACTTTCAGAAAAGCTCAGATCCTTAAAAAATAAAAAGTAGTTTCATCAATTTACAGTTAGGATGGCTAAATGTAACCGTAAATTTTATGCTAAAGTTTCTTTTCTCGCTAGTGAAATCCCTCCCAGCTCCATGCTTTCCAGCCATCTTTAATTTGCAAAAATGTAAATGCAATGTCAATCGCTATCTCCTGATTACTCTTCTCTTGTTCTCTATTCCTGGGTATGACGATAAACTACATCTGGCAGCAAGGCCTCTGATCAGGAGATTGGAGGTTTTGAGGAGCATGTGGCCAACTCTTAATTACTGATGTTCCCAGGTCCACCCTGACCCGGGGTAGTAGCACCTTTTAGGGTCACAGCTATGAACAAATAGTGAAACCCCAAACAAAAACAAAACACTGTGAAAGTATAAAATACATTTTTAAAATAAAAATACCAGCAAAACATTTTTATATAAAAAATTGCCAACAATACATATTTATAGTAAAATTATCAATAATACATTTTATCTGTAGTTAAAGCTACTCAATGGCATTCAAAATATATTTAGTAGAAGCCATAAAATTGTGTCCAAAATATTTAGATTTCTGAATTAAATAACCCATAGAGGTGTTGATATGCCGCTAAACAAAATCAACCAAACAACCAACGTGAAAGAACTCTTTCATGATATTAGTCCGTATAATATGCAATTTCTTAAAGAAATCAAACTGTATTCCAAAATATAACTTCAACAAAACTAAAACTTAAAACCAGCACATCACCGCTTCGAGTAATTATGTCCACACAACATATATATATATATATGTACAAAAGCTGAGTATCATCTACCATGTATTCAATTGTGAAAACAGAATAACATATTTCGTACTTTTATTACTTCAAAGCTCCCAAGAAAATTAAATTTGGCATTAAATAACCATAAGGAGTTGATATGCGATTAAACAAACAAATAAATTAATCTTTTGTTTTCGCTCCTAAGCAATGTTTTTCTTTCTAACTTTTCTTTGTGTCTCAGTGGCTTTACTACTTTGTATGGGGAGAATCGGATTAAAAAATAAAGAAATCCATATGTAGAGCATTACAAAAATCTTTAAAAATTACAGTAGCTTTTAAATCTCTATCTATAAAAGACAGGATGTGTGTGTGTGTGTGCGTGTGTGTGTGTAAATTTTTGACGGATTTGCACCAAAATTTACATGCACATGCTCCAAGTTAGTGGAAAGGCCAAGACCGACCTTGCATTTCCCAACTCCCATCGATAGTGGAAATAATCGATTTTTCATGCTTCTACGGCAGTTTTCATGTAGTTTTCGGCCATTTTGTACTGGCCAGAGTGAGAGACAATAGCTGGCTGCCACGAATAGGCAGGAAGATTCTATTCGCCAGCGTGAGAGTCAACAGCTGACTGACACGAATATTAATTAGCATTTCAAAAAAAACGATATGCATTCGTCACAAGTGGGAAAAAAAAATCGATGGCACTTTACTTCAATTGGCTCATTCGCTTGCTTAAACTCAACGTTGATTCTGATTCCGCAGAACTGGGTGGAAAAAAAAAGTATTTAAATTCTTTTTTCCTAGGTTTTTCCAGTTGGCTGATCGTTTTGTGTTCATTTTGTTTAGTTCTTTCTTCGTAACAGATTTAATGCTTAGAAAAAACTCAACGTTGATTCTAAGGATTAGCAACATCAGCACGCAGCAACTAAAGGCAAGGAAGGACAAAAATAAAGTCAAGTGATAGCGATTGCTGTATAGTACGATTTTTGAATCAAAAACGGGAAACTACGTTATAAAAAACGAAACTACGTTTGAGAGACCTTAATACAAAGCGTAACTTATCCTAACGCAAAATCCACAGTCGAAAGGCTACAAAGTCGCGATAGTTTGGCAACAGGGAGAATAGTATTTATGAATTTTATCCGCTAGACGAGTTTACTAACCGTGAAAAGGCGTTCATTTGATTCTATTTCTACATTTGCCGGTTAAGTGTTTCTTTTGTTCAGTACTGACGTGATGGATTTCAGTCACTCAAACCACATTCATATGTTACGTCTTTTCGACGCTGGTCGGACTGATGGGGATATCTATAGATCCAACCAGATCTGATTCTGTTCCTGGGTTAGACAAATCGAACATTGATCTTTTCATTTCATTTTATTGATCCCTTTGAACATCAATCGGTAACTTTCACTCACATTCAGAAGAAGAAAAAAAGATGTTTTCAAATTTACCTTTTGTACGTTTACGTTTAAAATAAGCAAAAGACGAGGTTCTTTCTTTCTCTCATTTTTCTCTACATTTTCTTTCTTTCCTTTCTTCACTCACTCACTTCTTTCTACCATCTCTCTCTCTCTCTTCTGTCTACTAACAATCTCTTCTTCCAACTCCCTCTTTTCTCTCTCTCATCCCTGTCCTTTCTGTCCACTCCTTCTCTTCTGCTTTTTCTTTTCTTCACTCACTCTCTTCTCTCAACCATCTCTCTGTCTCTTTCTCTTCCCTCCTCTATCACTCTCTTCTTCCCCCTCTCTCTTTTCTCTCTCCCATCGCTCTCCTTTCTGCCCATTCCTTCTCTTCTGCTCCTTCCTTTCTTCACTCTCTTTTCTCAACCATCTTTTTCTTTTTCTCTCTTCCCTCTACTATCACTCTCTTCTTCCTCCTCCCTCTCCCCTTCTTCTCCACTGCTATTTTCTTTCTTCACACTCCCTGTCTCTTCCCTTTATATATTAGAGTCGACGTCAATTATGTATTTGAGAAAGTTGGGTTTTTTTTTTTTTTAACTAGAATTTTTTTGTAAAACACTGACACGTGTTGAAAGCCTCACCGTATTTATTATTGTTGAAGTTATCACTAACATTTTTGTCGAGATTTACAAACTCTACATTTCATTCAGTTTCGAAAACCAATCGATGAAATGTGAATAAGCTGAATTGTTTGGAAAAATACTTTGACAAAACCTCGAGGTTTAATAATTTCTTTAATTTAATTTAATTTTATAGGACTTAATGGTAAACAATATTTTAAAAAAATATATATTTTTTCCTTTTTAAGGATTCTTAGGATTTCTTACTCTTGAGCATGCAACATACAACTGGCTATGGGCAAATATTTCTTTCTGGATTCAAATTCCAACTTTTTGAAGCGTTTGGCCTTGTGATTTGTTTGTAGTTCTCACGAACACAGTGAGAAGTGGAAACTAGATTTTTGTATATATAAAACTTAAGAAAAGATATGCAAAAAACAACATTGAATTTTTATGAAATAAGTATTTGTTATTTTAATCTTTAAATTGTTTTTGATATAGTGGAAGTATTTTGCATGTCAAATAATAAAACAGTTCTTTTTTTTGTTTTGTTTTTTTAAATGAAAAATTATTTTACTAAGCTGCGCACCCTAGTAAAACAAACTTTGTACCCTCCTTACCTGTTTGCACTTCTCTCCAAAATTTGGTTTTGATCTTTCAATGTATGGCTATTTTAGAGGCAGTGACGAACGGACGGACAAATTAACAGAAGTCACAGAATTTTATATACAGATAGATAGATTTATTCAAGTATCATTAAAATACAAACAATGAAAACGTTCCAAAAGATTCCTGGCACAACCAAAATGTAATATTAACATATTTTCAACTTTTTATCCGTTTCGTAGCGTCTAAAAATATGAATTTGTATTGTTTACATTTTGCCTTTAAGCACGAAATGTAAAAACTACTGAGAGCGAACATACAAACATATTTATACCAAAATGTAACAAGCTTGAGGCAAACAGGGCCGTTGCATACTTCCCTCGAACGAGAGCCAGCCTGATTGTAGGACCCGTGAAATGCTTTATGACCCTATCTTATCAACATTTGCTTTTTTTCTACCGACAGTTATATATGTTACAAATTAAACTAAAAATGTGTTTTTCTCATGCTAAGTCTAAAAAAAAAACACCATATAAAATTGACTATTTCTTTATACATAATGTTGAATGTGTTAAAATTATTCAAGTTTTGAACAAGATAAATCTTAAGTCGACGTCAAAAATTGTTGCAAAACAGCGTTGATTTATTTTAGATGAAATGAGCTTTTATGACATGTCTCTAATTTGTAATTTTTATATATTGTATTTATTTTCAATTTTTCTACTTAAAAAATATGCATGATTCATTATTGTACATAATTAGGTGACAATAAAATTTGTATTTTATATGAATACTACATTATGAAAACTGAGACGTAGTAGAGTGAGGGAGCGTATTATAGACTGACAGAAGCACAAGACTCTTACACCAGCCCTGGCGATTAAAATAACCTCACGCTAGGAGAAACAAAATTGTATTTTACTCTAAATCGAACATGTTCATTGCAAATCTCTATTAAACTTTGTCCTGGTCATTCATTCACACAAACTCGTCAGGTAAGACTTTTCTGATCTTTCGACCTCAATATACCCTGTGAGGATTAAATTTTCCAAACCGTCCTTTTTCATTTATATGTCCAAGAAATGATCAGCTGTTTTTTTTGTTTTTGTTTTTTTTTTATTCTGGTTATGTGTTCTTTTTTTATTGCCATTTTCTTCCTCTTTGCTTACTCGCTCCGTCCATGGAATTCTCAGTATCCTTCTGTAGAACCACGTTTCTATTACATTCAGTTTCCTCTTTAAGAACTACAGAAGTTTAATAATCTGGGACGTGTTATAACAGACAATGAAAAATGTGACATAGTAATCCGAAGGTGCATTGGGATAGCGAAAGATGTCCCCCAAAAGCTAAGCAAAGTATTAAGAAACAGAAAAAAATCATTAGAAACAAAGAAAAGATTGCTAAGGATTGGAAAATTTGTTTCTCAAGTCCAGTAGCTGTTATCGCTCTTTCCAGTACTGATGGACGTTTCCATCATAACCTTTTATTTGAAATAGTGTCATATCAACGTCTTGATTATATCATTATTTTCTCTTCGAGTTGCATGTGCTATCCATTTTAGTTTTTGCTGCTGTTGGTAGTCCTCAAGTGATGTGGTTTCTGTTATTTGGTAAAGTTCTTTGTTTGGAATTCTGTAGCGCTGATCCGCAAGTTTCGAACAGCGTGACATGTTTTGTGCGTTACAAAGCAACAGATACTGGTTTTTATATAAATGTATTAAATCCATTCTAATGGCGAAGACCAGACCTATCTGTCGCTAACGTATTCTGTAAATGAGAGAGCAAGAAGGGAAAGAGAGAGAGAGGGGGGTATATCTTTTTCTTTTACAGCGCTTATTATCATCATGTCATCTGAACGAAATCCTCTGGCAGACAAAACTGGCTAATCCCCCATCAGCGCTTTAAGCTGATTAATCAGTCTGACAATTTGCCCACTGAGCTATTACGGTCAAGTTTTTCTTGCTGGGGGCGGGGGGGGGGTCATTAAACCTTATGTTCGTATAATCAAGAATTGATGCTTTACAACAAAACTACCATTTGCAATTATCTCAAGAAACACTGCGTCCTGGGTAAGAAAATAAACTACATCCGCGTCCTGGGTAAGACAATAAAGTACGTCCAACAGCAAAGCCTCAGGAGGTTTTGAGGAGCGTGGAACCATCTCTTCATTGCTGCTGTTCCCGCGTCCACATTGACCCGGTGTAGTAGCACCTGTTGGGGTCCCAACTATAGGCAAAGTGGTTAACCCTCGGGCTGGGATCGGGACACTATGAAAGTGTAAAAATATATTTTAATACCAGTAAAAGATTTTTGAGGAAAAATTATTACCAGCAATACCTTTTTGAAAGAAAAAATATTACTAGCAATACATTTTTAAAGGAAAAAATATTACCGATAATACATTTTTGAAGCAAAAAATATTACCGGTAATACATTTTTGAAGCAAAAAATATTATCGGTAATACATTTTTGAAGCAAAAATATTACCAGTAATACATTTTGAAAGAAAAAATATTACCAGTAATACATTTTTGAATGGGAAAAATATTACTAGTAATACATTTTTGAAGGAAAAAAATATTACCAGCAATAATTTTTTGAAGAAAAACAATATTACCAGCAATACATTTAAAAAAATATTACAAGCACTATAATTTTGAAGAAAAAAATATTACCAACAATAAAATTCTTGTTGGCATTAAATAAGCCATTGACGTAGATATGCCATCAGCCAAATGAAACCAAACCATCAATAATCATTGATAATATTTCATATAAACAGAGAAAAACCCTCCTCTCAGAGAATTGGTAATTCGCTAATAATATCTGTGGTTGTGACAAAACTTGATCCGTCTTCGAAACTATAATTAGACTTTATGAATTAAATTTATTTGAACTGACAAAAAAAAAAAAACATAATAACCAGGAGCCAATAAAATATGAGTCGTTCGTTGAATTTGGAAGCTGATAAAATACATCAATTAATTAACAAATACGACGAACTCAGTGAAATTGTTCTGTTATGTATTTATTAAGGAAATTGCGTTGCCCGAAACTTAACTCTATTCCGAATATTAATCTGTGTGTATGTGGGTGTGTAGTACATATCACTATATGGGAATCAGTCAGTTGTACACGTTTTCCCAGAGGCTGTTCCATTATTGGAAAGTATTTAATACAAATGTTTTCCTCCATTAATAGAGATTTGATTAGATCCATGGAGAAAATTTTTCAGTAATAATAATAATAATAATAATAAAACTGGGCTTTACCTGTCAATTTATGCGCTTCTATTATCAAACCTGTCACTATATCACTGACATTTGGCTGTGATGCATGTGCTTCATATACTCTTATCAGACCGAGTGTCATGATATGTTTATTGAGCTATAATATAAAACTCAGCATGATAGAGTGGGCCAATATCTGCACTGAAAAATTACAACTTTTATGGGAAGGAAACTGCAAAAAAAAAACTGGTATGAACATTACCGAGACCTGGTTATAAAACTGGTATGAACATTACCGAGACCTGGTTATAAAACTGGTATGAACATTACCGAGACCTGGTTATAAAAAATGACCTGTAACAATTTCATGGGGACTTTACAATACACAGAGACAGAACAATCAAAGCTAATTGCCCAAACGTCGTGATCAAAGACCAGAAAAACATGATGTGCTTTCTGATTGACATGGCAGTCCCTTCAGATTGTAATTTATCTTTAAAGATCTTCAAAAAAACTTTCAAAATACAATGGACATGAACTGGAAATCTAAAAATGTGGCACGTGAGTACATCAATAATTCCAGTTGTAGTTGGAGCCCTCGGATTGATTGGAAAAGGTTCCGATAGACTCACTGAGGGGAATCTTGATAGTTCATGCTTTAAAGGAATACAAAAAATTGTACTCACGAGTACAGCTCTCACATTACGAAGAGCTTTATCCATGTAAAATGTGTTTGATATTAGTTGTTGTTGTTTTTTGTTGTTTTTGTTTTTGTTTGTTTTGTTTTGTTTTTACAAAAATGATTAGTGGAAAATGTGATGAAGCCATTTATGACCTTAGATCTCTGGTTGGGACCCGGGAGGAAATCTCTATTCAACAGAGATCAAAAGAAAAGAAATAATAAAATACAGGAGGCAAAGAAAGTATTAAGTTATGTACATTTTTTTTTAACTTTTCACTCCATACAAGGCGGGAGTGCCACGAGCACGCAAGGGTTAGAGAGAAATGGGAGCAAGAGTAAAGAGGCGTGATAGAGGAAAGGATGAAGAAAAGGATGTGGAATAGATCAAGACATCTGGAGATGTCGATTGA